CTGATGTGGCTCTGCTCCTCCTCCCCACACCAGCGAGAGGACCCAGCCTGCCTTCCACCAGCACCGGTGTGGTCCCCAGCTCCACCCTCGGAGCCAGGCGGGGATGCGCCATTGCCACTGGCAACTTTGGAGGTCTCGGCATTGCAGACGGGGCGCCCACAGCTGGGCCCTTGAGCGCAGAGCCTTGCTGACCACAGCTTCGTCCTCCCAGTGGAGCTGCTGGGGGGAGTACCAGGCCACAGAGGTGCCTAAGCTTCCCCCTGGACTCCCGGTACCTGGCTGGGTAGCTCATGCTCCGGCGCCCATGGGGCCAAGCCCTCCTCAGAGCCCCAGGTTTGAGGGCTGCCTCGCCCGGGCTGCAGCTGCCATTCAAGTGGGATTAGCGGCTCAGGCCAACAGACTCTGTCCATGGCAGAGGGGAAGTCGGCAGGGTTAAACAGGACAGGACAAATGGAAGCCACGCCCTCCAAGGCCAAATGTCAGTGGTAGTCTAGGCTGGGCTCTCAGAGATCGACCAGTCACCCTGGGCGCTCGTAGGCAGGGACTGTCTCCCTGATCACATACACATCGGGTCATGATTGGACTTACAGCACTGCAGTAGAGATTTGTTCAATGAAAGCTAATTTATTTAAAAGAACATTAAGAGTGGCTGGACGCGGTGGCTCACACCTGTAATCCTAGCACTCTGGGAGGCCGAGGCGGGTGGATCGCTCAAGGTCAGGAGTTCGAGACCAGCCTGAGCAAGAGTTGAGACCCCGTCTCTACTAAAAAAAAAAAAGTAGAAAGAAACGATCTGGACAACTAAAAAAAAAAGAACATTAAGAGTTAACACCTGCTGTGTGGAAAGGACATGAGCCTGTGTGTCGGGTCCCTGGAGTGTGGTGGGGGTCACAGAGCACCATGCTGTCCCCTGAGGAGTGGGGACCCTCAGGTGGGGATCACAGAGCACCGTGCCATCCCCCGAGGAGTGGGGACCCTCAGAGGTGGGTGGGGAATCACCAAGCTTTCCCCTGAGGTGGGCCTACATCTCCAATGCCCCCAACAACCAAAGTATTCCTCAGCCCCCGGAACTGGGGCTTTGCATGGGCTGGGCTGGCACTCGCAGGACCCAGAATGCAGCGAGTGTGGCGGGAAATGAGGGGGCTCCCGGAGTGTGACTAACGGGTGTTGGCACAGAAATTCGAGTCTCTGGAATCACTGAACGTCTACCAGTTGCTAAATCCACAGACAACATTTAGGATTTGCCAGAGCTGCTAGTTGACAGCAGAAAAGCGCGAGCTCAGATTTGTTCCAGTTGAAAGGGCTCTTCAGCTGCTGCCTCTTAAATCTTCACCAGCGCTCTCCCTGGCACTCCACGTTGGAAAAACATGCAATGTGATACGTGTACTTTATATATAAGGAATATATATCTTCCTGCCTTTTTATATGTAACATACCTATGTAAAACACATATGTGTGCGTGTATGTACACGTGTGCATATGTGTGCATGTGCGTGGGAACCACCCTTAGTCTCCCCATGGTCACTGTGAAGGGTGGGCGGGCAGTGGGGAGGAGGAGGGGGAAGGGGAGGAAGAGGAGGAGGAGGAAATGGGGAGGGGGGAGGAAGAGAAGGAGAGGAGGGGGAGGAAGAGGAGGAGAGAAGGGGGAGGGGGAGGAAGAAGACTAAAAGGAGAAAGGGGTCACCCAGAGGGAAGCCTTTTGTGCGCCTGTGCTCTCCCCATCTCCAATGGCTGGGGGTAAGGAAGAGGCACCACAGCATCTGTTCAGGGCAGGCAGGGGTCTGACTGCTGTCGGGGCACAGCTCTCCCCAGGGGAGAGGTCTGCAGTTTGCCGAGCCCCACCAGCCAGAAGGGCCACCTGAGGTGGTCCCGGTGGGTTTCCCAGCAAAGCAAAGCAGGTGCCATGAGGCCCCTCATCCAAGACGACAGGGAGCTACAGACACAGATGTCTCCCTAGGACGCGCTGAACCCCAATGATGCAACCCTACGGGCATTTAATGTGTGTCTGCTGAGAGCCTGCTGTGGGTGAGGTTCGCAGCAGGGAAGCTCCGGGAGGGAGGAGGCCTGAAGTCCAGCTGTAGAAGAGCTGGGCCTCGTAGAGACCGTGGTGAGGCAGTCCGGGCCACACCTGGCCAGCTGGGGCTAACTTGCACGCTCAGTCCAGCCTGAGCACCCCATCCCCCTAAGAAGCTGACAAGTCAGCACGGGCTGCATGAGCCCCCGTTTTCCACCCATGGTCCCAACTATGTCCCTCACGAAAGGCTGGGTCAGGTGGGCTCTTTGTCACTGCAGGCTCCATGGCCTTGCCCAGAGCTCCCAGCAAACCCATTGGCTCCCAAACCTGGACCGTGCTCTGCTGCACGGGCTGGGGAGTCCCAAATGGGGTCCAGAAGGGTGGACAGCTGAGGATGATGCCCGCCACCAGCCCAGGCTCTCAGCTGCCCCCTGCAAGGCGAAGTGCTCTAGAGCTGAGGGTGACCTGCTGGCATCTCCCAGCAAAGCCTTCTAAACAGGCGCTGACCCGATTTCTATTAATTAGCCACAAAGGCTCTTCTTTCCACGCTGCATTTTCCAAATGAGACGCTTTGATCTGGATATAAAAGATAGCAATGATAAAGGCCTTTTTTTAAATTGTAAAAATAAATAAATCTAAAGTGTGCCAGCCCACACAAACCTGACACATGCCTAGCCTTCCTCCCGCCATTGGCAGCCAAGAGACTCCAGGTACGGAAAGGCCTGGCAGAATTACCCCTGTCTCCGCGAGGGCAGCTGGAGCCTGGTGCTGGGCCTGGCAGCAGCCAGTTCTCTACAGCCTCAGCAATTGCCCTGATGCCTGGGGGCCACACCTACTGACTCCCCAAATTTCACCTCCCTACTCCAGCACCTTACCACATGGCTCCCACATGGCCACCTGCCTCCCATGGCATCCACGACTGTGTAGAGTCAGGTGCCAACCACGCAACCAGATAGCCCTTTACAATACTCCACTACACGGGGCCCCTCCTAGGACCCACGCAGCCCTGGATGCCCTCTCAGGGACAGCAACAGGCATCCTGTTCCTGGGCAGCAGACACACACAGGACCTGTCTGGCCACTCACCCAGCCTTGGCCTCCAGGCTTCTGCCAGGCCGGACGGCCCCCTGTGCTGTTCCTCCGAGCCCACTCGCACACCACCTGCTCTCGAGGCCCCCAGGCGGCCCTCCGTGCCGTGAGTGTCTTTATCACGGCACTGGGGCTGCTCCTCTAAGTGGGGTGTGTGCGGGAGGCACGCTTTACCGCTCTTTGCATGGTAGCAGCCAACTTCAGCTCACAGGGGGCTGACCACAGCAAACGCTTGACCAGCACTTGGCTGGGGGACAGCTGCCCACCCCTGCCAAGTCCCCCTTCCCTCTCCCCAGCCCGGCAGCCAGTGATGCTGGAGCTGCACATCTGGCTGTGTGCTCCTCCACGGCAGAGCCCCTCATGGCTGGCAGGATAAACACTAAAGCTCTCCCCGCAGCCCGCGCCTGGTCTCCGGCTTCCCTGCCGTCCTGTCCCTGCGACAGCATGGCCGTCCTCCCACACCCACCCTCCCACATGGCTCCCGCACCGACCCATCAACCCCAGGATGGCACACAGATACACTTCCTGGGGAGCCCCTCCTGACGCCCAATACCACCCACTCCCGCAGCTCTGCAGTGTACCCCTCAGCCTGTAATTACACAGCCATGATCCCACATGCAGTCCCCATCATACTGCAAAATGAGCGGAGGCAGAGAACGTGCGTCTGTGCTCACTGCTCTGCAGCCTTGGTGCTCCCCAAAGGTGCCCCCAGCACACAGTATCTGAATAACTGAACGACTGAATGAAGGGAACACAAGCACCTCAGAAGCTGGTGGGCTCCCAGAGGGCTATTTACAATGCCATGGTCCATGCATAAGAAACACTCTGGAGAAAACCTCAAACCTAGAAGAGACCAGAGCTGCCACTTGCTGGACACTTGCTGGGCTAGGGCTCAGCCTGGTCTGCTGGGACCAAAGCCTGCCTGCCCTCCAAACTGCTGTGGGTCCGGGAGGGCCGCTCTCCCTCTACCTCCACACCTCACTGGGGCCGTTCTGTGCCTGCTGGAGCTGTCTGGGCCCCACAGCCAGTCTCTGCTGTGCCACCAGGAGAAACTCTGGACACCCAGCATCTGGCCCGTAACAGATTCTCAGAGTAGAGGGGTGGCTGCTACACTGAAGCCCCCGGAGCCACAGGCCACCCTGCCATACTCAGTCTGAGTACACAGCGGCCGCCGCCATGAGACCGTCCAGTAGGACATGCATGACCTGCCCAACAGTCACTTCCAATCACAAGCTGAAACGGCAGGGCCGACCTGGGCACCAGAGGCCAGGAGTTCTGCCCACACCTGCTCTGGAAATCTCCTATTTAAGCCGCCTGGTATGGCTCCAGGGCAGAGGGAAGCGTCAAGAGCGCTAGGAAAGAGGCCTCCCCTTGGCCTCTGCTCAGCTAGTGCTGGGTGCTGGCAAGGAGCAGGGATAACGGGACATGTCAAGGCAAAGGCAGGGGCGAAGAGTGGCAGCTGTCTTGTGGCAAGGACTGACGGGTCCCGCTCAACACATGGGTAGAGGTCTGGTCTGGCTGCTGCCTTTGTGTGTGACTCTCTTCTGAACACACTTACTGTGCCCCTCCCCAAAACCATGGCCCACAGACCCTTGCTGCCCCTAGCCTTGTGTTGCTGCTTTGTTGGCAACAAAGGCAGGTCCCACCTGGCAGCTCCGGGACAGGAGCTCTGCTCTCTCCTGCATGCTGGGGACAAAGGTCTCTGCAGAGAGGAACCTAAGTGGATGAAATGGGATTAAAAAGAAAACAGGAAGGCAAAGCTGGAAAGAGACACCCACAGGCTCCAGCTGGTAACAAAGCATGAAAGGGAACAAAGTGCAGAGGCCGCAGGTCTGGAACAGGGGACAGAGGCTGCTGGAGGGCGGGCCCAGGTGTGCTCTCTCCTCCCTGGGACATACCTGAGTGTGTCCACCTCCTCCCTGGAGAACAGGAAGCTCTGCTCAGCGGAGCTCGACTGGGCCTTCAGCATCTTCAGCTCCATCTCCAACTACAAGGAAACACAGGACCAAGAGTCAACCAGACTCGGGGCACCAGAGGCTGCGAGAACCTCCACCCGGCCCTGTCCGCACCCCGCAAGCAGCAACCCCACCTAGAGCTGGCGCCACCAGGCCACAGAGCATCCAACTTGTGGAAACATGAGTCTCCTTTGTGTTGGCACTTCTGTCTGTGGAACAGCAACAGACTACACAGTCCTTTGGGGCACTGGAGTCCCTGGGGAAGGGGACGTACGACTGGGGAGAGCATTACCTTACCTTGCCATCACTTTAACAGCCACAATAGTTTATTTATTTTGCTACTTCAAATTTCTCTACAGAACAGCATGAGATGCCGACAAGGCCCAGGACGGAATGTGGATCTTAACTGGCTCGACACCTGGGTGAGGGAGGCCTGAGAAGAAGCGGCAAAGAGACAGGCATGGCGGGCAGGCGGCCGCCGGCCTGGGGGCTGCGTGGGCTCGGGCTACGCAGGCGCCAGCCTGGGCTTGGGTGCTGGAGACTCACCCAGAGCAGCCTCTCAGCACCCCTGGTGTCCCCTCCCTCCACCCAGGCACACTCTAAGAGGACATGTGGCCACAGCCTGGCAGAAACACGGAGAAGGCCTGGTAGCCACTGCAGCTCGGGGTGGGCATCCTTGGACTGGGCTCTGGCTGGCCTCAGGCCAGCCCACAGGTCCTGCCCTCGAGCCCACTGAGTCTTCAAGGCCTCAGGGGCCAGAGCACAGAATAGAGAATTCGTGAAGTCCGGGGAAGGAACCCCAGTGTCTCCATGCTCTCTGCCACTTGCTGTCTTTGCAACCTCAGGGACATGACATCACCTCTTTGATCCCGAGATTCCACTTCCTGCCAACACAGGGACAATCTAGCAGGTGCCCCTTGGACAAGCGTACAGCCCTGATACCCTCCTGGGGTCACCATACTCTCCTAGACACTCAGTGCCCTTAGGGCCAGCTGAAGTTGTGTGACGGACAGCGGCCCTGCCCCATCCCCAACACCATCCTGCCCGGGGCCTCTTTGTATCCACCCTTTCCTTCTCCCCACCCGAGAGGGTCACATTCTCTCTTCTGTCCCAGCAGAATGCTGTGTCTTTCGCTGGCCCAGGGCTCCCATCTGAGCTCTGAGGGCACCTATCAAGTGTCCTCAGGGCACTGCCCCAGGGTCTTGTGCCTCTGGATCCAAGGATGGTCTGTCTCCCACATAAGGCCACAAGCCCAAGGGAGTGCAGAGCCCTGAGCCCTCTGTCTGCCCCTGTGTGCCCAGTGCCCTGGCCAGAACAGGCACTCAGCAGAGGCACCGCCATGTGAGGGGCAGGCACGGTGCCAGGGCTGGAGACACAGAAGGCAGGCCCTCACCTCCACGGGCTCCATGGCTCAGGCCGAAGACACTCGTCCAGGGGTGACCCCTGCTCCTGCATAGACTTGGGTTTCTAGGTTCTGTCACGTGAACCTCAAATCTCAGGGGCTGTTTTCTGGCTCTCTTACAGGTGGTCAGGCATGCTGAATGGTCCCGGATTTCTCCAGAAGGTGAGGAGTGACACGGCAGGTTGGCCCTCCCTGTGCGTGGCTTCCAGGGAAGGTGCAGCCACCAAGTGGCAGCACACCACCAGGAACACAGGCACCCAGCTGTTGGCATCTGGACACAGCACTGGCCACAGGGATATTTAGGAAACAAAAGAAGTCCTGCATGCAAACGCCCTTGGATAGATCTTTTCTAACAAAAGCCACAAATCAAGAATTATCTCAGTCAACGCCGCCAGATCTAAGAACGAACAGAATGTGCACATTCACATTCACAGGAATCTAACAAGCCCCTGCACTGGCCAACGAGCACTGACCTAGATGGACGCAGAAGAGCCAGGAGCCCCCTCAGGGTGGAGGCATGGACCCTCTTCATGGACCCCGTGTGGGTCCTGGCCACGCCCTAGCGTGTGAACAGCATGGCTGGCCTGCATGGGTGAAAGATCAGGGCAGAGGCACCGCCTGCGCAGTGGGGCCTGAACCTGCCCCCGGCTCGCCTTCCCAGTGCCTGCTGTGTCCGCAACTCACTTCCATCAAAAAAAAAAAAAATAAACAAAAAAGCCTCCTTGTAAAAGTTGGGACTGCGTTAGATTTAAGGACTAGCATGAGGAGAATCAGCACCTGTGGAGGCTGAGGCTCCCGGTCAGGGACAACGTCTTCTCACTAGCACATTGTGGTTTATGATCCTCAAGTGCTTGTAAAAATTTTCTTCACACAGATTTTGCACGTTGCCTATAGGCCTTAGTCCTGGGTATTTTATCACCTTTTTGTTGCTGCTGTCAATGGGGACATTTTCTTCTATTACCTAACTTATTTTTGTACATACGATTTTAAAACTTTGTTCCCACCCCTTTCCTTGATTCTGGTTGACGGCAGCATTTTCGGTTGACTCTCATGGCACACAATCATACCAGCTGCAGAGTGACAGTTTTCCCATTTCCCTCCTTCCTGAGATTTATACCTCTGATTTCTCTCCCTTGTCCAACTCAGCATCTCCAGAGTGACAGTAGGTGACACCTGTGATATTGGACATCCTTAAGTTGTGTGTGGCTCCTGGAACTGCATCTAATAGTTCCTTATTTATAGCATGTCAGCTTTCGGTTGAAATAGGTATCTTATTATGCTGAGAAATTACCCATATTTCACATTTTATCAAGAGTTTTAATCAAGACTGAATGTTGGATTTGTCAAATGCCTTTCCAGCAAATGTGGAAAGGAATTCCCACAAAGTAAAACCCTAAAATCAAGCTAAGAGGCCAATCCTGGAATAAACCCTACCACGTATGGTACGTTTTCATGTGCTGTTGAAGTGCATTCCTAATACCAGGTCTGTCTGGAAAGTATCCAGCCATGTAACAGGAAAAATAGAAGCATTTGTTGAAAAAGATACAAGAAACATTGTACATAGGACAATGAAGCCTCAGTCCCCTTCAAAGGAGGCACCCTGGGACGTCACACAGTTCTCCCAGCGTCTCTTAACCTGCACACGTTCAACATTCTCGGGTGTTCTGCTTGGTGCAGGCCTCCCAGAACGTGGATCACTTTGAACAGATTCTCAACCATCCTTGAAGCATTTGTGCCACACTTTTATCTGGGCTACACTCATTGCATCAAACCCAAAAGCCTTCTGAGTCATCCAAATAGCTTCCACAGAGGTATATATGTTCAAGCTTACGCAAAATCTGATGTAGATTCATTGTCTACCCGCTCAGTCATTTTGAATGTGACGGCCACAGGGCACACACGCACACTCAGTGGTGTCCAGTGCCCCACTGACTGCTAGTACGTGTGTGTGGGAACACGCACATGAGCACACACAGGCCTGAGAGATCTTTGCAGCCGTGGGCGTCAAGGCAACGCTCACTCCCAAAAGCATCTCCCCTCTTCTCTCCACACTCCACAAGCTTATATGTTTTTCAATGTGTCTGTACTTTGAAGATCTGGTAGAATTTGTGAAGAGCTAGAGATTTTGTGACAACTTTACTCTACAATAATTGGTCTGTTTAAAATTTCTCTCTTTTGGTGTCAATACTGATAGATTGCATTTTCCTAAAAATTATTCACTTTGCACAGATTTTTAAATTTATTTAAATGGAGTTGTGATAATAATTCATAATTTTTTTTATAGAATTAAGGTAGACCTCAATTATTTTTAAATTTATTTTTTTATTTTTGCTTTTACTTATTTTCTGTCCCACTGAGGCACAACTTACACACAGTAAAGTGCCAAAATCTCATGTGCACAGCCTGGTGACTTTTTACACATGTCTACACCCCTGTAACCACCACTGAGGTCAAGATGGAATTCTAAGCACGCACGAAAGCTCTCTCATGCCCCCTTCCAGTCAAGAACTCCAAGGTAATTAGTCTTATTTCTTATTTTGGGTGGCAATGCTTTCTATTAATTTTTCATTAGAATTGTGAATAATTCATATGTTTTATTGGTTTTATTTCAAACAACAGGCATCTTTGACTTATTATTTCTACCATTTTTCACTTTCCTATTAAATTCAGCTTTGATCTTTACAAATTCCTACCTTTTGTTTTACTAAGGTTTATTTTACTTTCATTCTCTGACTTCTTGAGCCAGAGGTTTAATCCATATATATTCATGCTTTCTTGTTCAATGATATAAATATTTAAACTCTTGAATTTAGATGTTTCCCACAGGCTCTGATGAGATGTGTTTTCATTACAATTATTTTCTAGATTTTCTGCACTTTTGAATTGCATTTCTTCTTTGAACCACGAATTGTTTAAGATAGAGTCTTTGGCTCTGTTTTTTATTTTGTGTTTTAATTTCTATGTGTTAGGAGCCTTTTTCTGGTTTTGTTCTTGATTTAAAATTTTATCACATCGAAGAGAAGTTATATTAGTTCTACTTACCTGAATTTCTAAAGGTTGTCTTTATTATCTAATATTTGATTAATCTTTTTGAATATTTATGAGCACTTTTTAGAGTGTGTTCTCTCTTTTTAGAGTGTGTTTGGGGGATAGGGTTTTACATATATTATATACATATTCTATTTGTCCATTATTCTTTGCCTACTCGATACATCATGGATTAGGAAGGAAAAGAGATTCCCCTACTACCGGTGCCTTCGACACTGTCCCTGGGACGTCTCCTCATTCTTGCTCTTCCAAGCAGCAGTGCCACGTTACTGGGAACCTCAGTACTGAAAATCTCCTGCCTTTGTTTTCTCTGACGCTTTCCAGCTTGAACTCAAACTCAATTGCATCAAGACTACAGCTTCTGCTGTTACATGTCTGCAACTCCCAGATTGCCTTCGCAACCTGTATTTTCTAACTTTTTTGGTTTTGTTTTGCAGTCCAATCAGAAAGACTTTTCCTTTGAATAGGAGAGTTTAGTCCATTTATATTTTGACATATGTTTGTATTTATTTCTATCGTCTCATGTTGTTATGCATTCTGTGTATAGCTTTCAAAACTATATCATGCTGTGGCCTTTTAAAT